TAAGAATAAATGAGTTCCATTAAGAATATTTTGAACAAAGGAGGGAAATGTTAATTATTGCATGAAATATCTATTATTTGGTATGCAGTATTTTAAATGTTACCTGTTAAAACTTGAATTGTATTAGTTTACTTAAAGAAATGCAGTTAACATGTTGATATTTTAGATAGGATTCCTAGGCAAGGGATCTTTTGGAAATTTCTTAATTCAAAATTCATGTTTGAACAATTTATAAGAAAATCTCAGAAGGCCATCATTCTTGGGTTTAGTTAAACCATTTTTTAGGTTTTTAACTTGTAAAACAACAATTTTCATTCTTATCTTTGACATACTTGCAGTTCTACAATGTTTTACCTCAAATATATAATATAAAATGAGTAATTACATGTAATATGTAAATATATAAATGTATAATTTATGTGTGTATATATATGTGTGTGTATACATACATACATATATATATGAAATATATATTCAGAAAGAGCTCGAGGGAGCAAAGGATGGAAAACAGCAACATAATCAGGTCCTTACTAATATTTATAGACAGTGTCAAGAATTACAAAGGGTCAGATTTTACCCAACTTGTCAGCTATGTTAGCTTTCTATATCTTTGACCAAATCCTGGAAAGAACAAATTAAAGGGAGGAATTATTTATTTTGGCTCTCTGTTTCAGTCAATGGTTCTATTATTTTGTTTTATTTCTATTATTTTATTTGTGGTTCAGATGGTTCAATTACTTTGGGCTTGAGTGGGCAGCACATTCTGGCAGTGGGGAGCGTCTTGGGGAGGAGGCTGTTCACCTCTTTCCCAAAGGAAACAGAGAGAGCTAATGTATGCGCTCAGATTTTTCCTGTTTTTCTCTTTTATTCCATCTGGACCCCCAACCCATGTGATGGTGCTGTCCACATTCAGGGCAAGTCTTTTCCCTTTAATTAATCCTCTCTGAAAATGTCCTCCCAGACACAATCAAGTTAGCCTGCCACCTTGTTATGGAAGTTGGCAGAAGACATGAGATACTTAGGTCAGAGACAAAGCACTTTATTACACACAGCACACCAAGCAAATGTTTTTTGTGCTTAGGTCCCTACTAGATCCAATACAAGGTCCAATAGAGAGACCAGTGCAGGTGGATACTGCACACAGTAAGTTTCCATCATACCTGAAGGTTCTTAGGAAACCTCAATTTTTTTATTAGAGGCTGCAAGTAAACTTGCCTAACATTCATCTCAAGGAAAACATCTTTATAATATTGTAAAGCACATAACATGCCCCTTGCTCAGGAAGGATATGCTATCTCAGCCTTATAAAGCTTTTGCTAGAAAAATATTCTGGAAAAGCTATTCCTAAATAAATGCCAGGCCAGTACCATGTGTGCCTGAAGTGATTGTAACTACTAAGTGTAGCTACAATCTCCCTCATTTGCTTTTTGTAGAACTAAATGAAGCGATACATGTAAAAGTGCTTATTATTAAGTCCTCAGTCAATGTAGGCTTCTATCAATATCTCAGAGTGGTACATTTGTTATAACTGGTATACCTACATTGACACATCTTTACCACCTAGAATCCATAATTTACATTACGGTTCACTCTTGGTGATTTAACAAATGGATAGTGGCATGTATCCACCATTGCAGAATCATAGAAAATAGTTTCATTGCTCTAAAAATTGTCTGTGCTTTGCCTATTCCCTCCTTCCTTATTAACCTCTGGCAGCCACTGATCTTTTAGTTTTCAATAGTTTTTCACATACAAAATATATACATTTTTTTTAAAACAACAATAAAAAAAAACAGAAGTATTCTTGAGAAGAAGTCATCTACAACTTTTCTACCCAGTAATCCTTTCACTTGTTGGTTAATTTTCTATCAATATTTTTCTGAGCATTTTTGTCTAACTATAAAAACATAATTTTATCCTTTACAGATTGTCTTAGTTTAATAATGTCCATAAAACTTTCCAACTATTTAAGCATATTTTACATATCAGTCAGGACAAGGTAGTCTATACTGGACCACAATACATGCCCACTTTGTACTGCCTTATGGGTCTGCTCATTATGCTCATTCAAGAACACAGGTTGGTGACAGCAGCCACCAGTATATTGTCATGCTTGAAAAAACAAAAAAGAGCTTGAGAAGGTCTCATACTCTACTAACTTGTCATCAGAATAAGTCATAGGATTGCACCACAATTATGGGGGCAGGAAGGGGAGGTTACTGAATACTCTTCAGCCACTTGGTAGGTTTCCTGAGCAGTATTCATGACTACCATTTTACACTATATACAGCAGAAATAAGAATCAACCCACAAGAAGTCATTGTTGCTCCATTTAAACAAAGTGAAATAATTTTAAATTTGTATAGAGATTAATCAAGAAAATAAATGAAGAGTATATAAATACCAACTTATTTATTACATACTGTGATCAACAGTTCCCTTATTGACTATTGTGCTAAAAATAAAAAACATTTGAGTGAAGATCTATCGCAGCCTTTGGAGTAATAATCAAGATTTTTGATATTGCTGATACCAAATTCATTTCCTTTTTCTTTGTGTTGCTATCAAATTGTGCTAAGATAATGCTCAAATTTAAGCCCATCAAACTCTTTGCTAGTAATGTTTTATGAAATGAAAGGTGTGAGCTGAAAAGGCTTTTCTATTCTCTCTCTGAGAAAGTCAGCTGGGGGTGGGGAATAATGAGAAAAGAGAAGTTAATAATAAAAATCCAAGTGATAATATTAATGTTTTCAGACTCATTTAGAAAAAGTACTTAACCCAATATGTGAATGTAGGATAATGTACTTTACCCAAGTACTATCTCTTACCTTTACCTTATGCTATACATGGTTACATTTTCTGAGGTTCCCTTCCTAACTTACCTTTGTGCTTTTTGAAAGTATTAGTGAACCATTTCTAAGTTCAATTTATTTATGAGTGGCTTACAATTCCTTTAATGATAATGCTATTTCACCAGGTTCTGCTTCCTATGTCTTCCCTACCAGCCCAGTGAACGCTGATATCAAAATATCATCAAAACTGGGCGCCAGTGGCTCTCACACTTGTAATCCTAGGAAGCAGAGATCATGAGGATCACAGTTCGAAGCCAGCCTGGGCAAACAGTTTGCGAGACCCTATCTTGAAAAACCCTTTCGCAAAAAAAGGGCTGGTGGAGTGACTCAAGATGTAGGCCGTGAGTTCAAACCCCAGTACTGAAAAAAAAAATCATTTATATATATATATATATATACACACACACACACACACACACACTTATACCATCAAAGAAATGAATTCCTTTTGTATGTATCATTATCCATTACCAGGGACAAAATAATTCCATCTTTTCAAATGAAAAACACACACATGCAGCATTTAAATTGCAACATTTAAGTATTACATTCAAATCTAGAACTTTATTTCTAAAGGCTAATTCCTTTTCTACCTTTTTTTTTTTTTTTTGAGACAGGGTCTCACCTATGTGGCCCAGGCTGGCCTCAAACTTGTGATCTCACTGCCTCTGCCTCCTGACTGCTGGGATTCCAGATATGTACCACCACATCCAGTTTTAATTCCATTTCTATCTTTCTACTTTGGATACATAGGGACATTATTTCAGTCAATAAAAATGTGAATTAAGAGAAAACAACCTTTAAAAAGATATGTGGGATGTTTCTGTCAGCTGAACTAATTTTCTGGAGAGCAACAGGTCATGAATACTTTCAACTACACTCTCCATTTTCTAGTGGCAAATGACTTCTTAATTTATTAATAGAACAAAATACATAAAACATGAAGATCCTCCTAAAATAAATATGCTACAATTTAAATTTGTTCCAAGGTCCAGTATTAGATTTAAGCAAGTTGGCATATTTCCTGTGAATCTCGAAAGAAAGGTTTTCTCTTCTGCTCTGTGAATATGAAGCTGTAGAATTGCTTATTAGGTTTCAGACTATCATCAGTATTTGATAGTTTTACATTTTATGTTGTCATTTGTGGAGAATCTGATTTAGTGGGACAGAGTGGAAGGCATTTTTAAAGACACTCTACAGACAATTTTGATACATAGGAAGGCCTGAGATAAAGTAACCTGTATCATTCTTAAAACTATAGCTGTTTACTTAACAAAGTAGATAAGTAAAAGAATAGCAGGACATTAAAGTTTGAAGACAATATTGTACATTTAGTTTTATTTGATGATTTAAAAAGTAATAATTTTGAGGTAAAAAATGGTGTTGAGAAATCAGAGAGACAACTTCTCTGTGCTTGTCAATTAGAGACAGTTAATGCAGAAGTTGGGAAAATAACACCACGTTAGAGAGTGTATTTACTGACTTATTTGTAGTTGCAATCCCTACCTCTGCTTGAGATTAGGGAAATTACAATACAAATCACGTTACCAAAATGATTTTCAAAAGAAATGATCAATACTGAATACCAGTAGCAAAAAGATCAGAGATTTTTGTGGCTTAAGAAACTTCACACATTGAGAGTCCCATCAGGGAAATTCAAAGAAAATCAACATAATTGCTCATCAGAAGATTATCATATTTCTAATATGTGAAAATAAAAAGCATCTATATTAATAGTACTCTTCCTACTTCCAGCCATTAGGGAACATAAGGTAAAGCTAATAATCATGGAAAGAGACATATTGCTTTAACATGCTGAAATTCAATTAGGACTAATATGCTGAGACTCAGTGTTACTTTTTTTCTGGATTTAAAAGCTTGTATACTCTAATTATTTTAAGCACTCAAATAAAATGATTCCCCAAAGTAGCAATTTCTTACAACACTGATCAAAAATAACTTAAAATTTAAATATATACAACATACACATGCATATTCATTTTCAGGGAGTATATAAAGCTTAAATAAAAACAGATGATAAAGTATTTCAGATATAGAAAGTACCAGTTCAGGAAATTTATTTTTGTGCTTACTTTACACAAGAATTTAAAATATATGACAATGAGGAACCTTTTTAGTCATTGTTTCTTTTTTAAATACAGACATTAACAGAAAGGAATGGATTAGATGCACTCTACTTTTTCCTCAATTGGTTGATTATGTAGAGAATCATAAACCATGAAACTAAATTGAGTAAATGTTGGAAGTTTATTGCAAGCAGCACCTGGGGACAAAGCAGAGAAGGCTTTCTGTGGTCACAGGATGCATGTATTTACACTCAATACAGATCCTGCTATGTGCCTGGTTACTGGTTACTTGGACATACACCAATGTCCAAGTAAGTAACATAGAAGCATACTAGTGTTGTACTACTGAAGAGTTGATAATCCATGAGAAGAAAAACAAAAAGAGATAGCAGATAATCTATCCCTTCAAACTTAAGACAAATAGATTTGTTTTGCTCTATGTAAATTCTATCACTTTGAGTATTTTATTGTTTTCATACTGCTTTGTTAGAAAAATTATGCAAGAACATCTAAAAATTTTATTTCCTAGCTACTAAAATATTCATTCTATCAGTCATCCATAAACTGTCCCTCACACTGCTTCCTGTTATTTTCTCTTTTCTCATAGAAAGAGAGAACAGTTATTTGGCAGGTGGAATTCATTTTCTGCTCAAACACTGCAGGGGAGGGGATCCTTTCTATTGTCATTACTTAAATTCATCTACAATTATATAATTAGCATTTTTCCATCGTGTGAAATCCAACTTTGAACCTTTTATGGTTTATTTCTTAAGAGGGAATCAATGAAACTGACTTAATTTATACATTAAGCCTTCCCTCCCATAACTTTCATTGACTTTTGTATCTTAGTACTTTAAAAAGAATAAGGAATTCCTCAAACAAGTTTTTCAAATACAGAAGTGTGGGAAGTAAAAGATCAAAGAACAATAATAAGCAGTCTAACCTAATAAGTCATATTGATCAGTAAGCTGCATATCTTCCCCATCTGAAAATTTACTAATGAGAATCAGCAGTGGTTGATCTTAAAATGCTTTGAAACTGTGATAGGCTCATATGGAAAGTAAATGAAGCAAAAGACATGCCTCAAATACAGTGCAAAAATAATTCTGCTCACTTCTTCAGTTTACTAACTAGTAATACTTTTTTTCCCTTTGAAGCCCAAGTAGATCTAAATGTCTGAAACGTTTAAATAATGAATAGAAAAGAAGTAGGGGAGATTTTATTTCTACCTACTTCTAGTTAGTAAAAACACTTCACTAAATTAGCCATCAACATGTACTGGAGTGGAAACTAAACTTCCTTTAGGACAGATGGGAAAGATAAGAACTAATAGCCAAAGACTAGATCTTATGATCTTCTGTCAGTGAATCAAGAGGGTTTTTGGTATATTTTTAACACTTTATGGGTCTTGACACATCACTAGTTAACATTTACTCAGAGCCAAATCTATACTGCTCCCTTTTCTATTGAATGTAGTTTATTATATACTGAAATATTTAAGTGTATATTTGATAACCATTTGCAACTTCATACAAATAACAAAATGCAAATACAACTTACCATAATTTCCAGTCACATTGGCACATATAACAGCCCCAAAGAATCTTGGGTAATACTTCTGAATTCTTGAAATCACTTTTTGGCAAGCTATGGTTGGGTCTTCTCCTACTCTCATGTATTCTACAGCTTGGTAACTGATTTAAACAGAGGTAAAACTTTAGTATCACAGAATAAATACTAACTCTAAATTAGGTTACTTCAAGCTAGAATTTTAAAATCACCGTAACTGTCACATTTGATATAACACCTACAAATGAACAGGAGTCAGTGATTCCTGCTAAAGCCTTAGTATCAAGGCAAGTAAGCCTTGCTAATACAGTGCCATCTATTCAACTGGTCCACCATTAATTTCAGGTAAGGACTATTATTTTTGGTTTCAGTTGAATAACAGTCACTCAGTAATAATAACCAGTAGTCACAGAGAATAGAGGTTATATTTGGATGCGAAAAGGAGCTACAATTAAAGGACAAAACAATGTATATGTATTAAACACATACCTGTGATAAATGAAAGGTACACAATGACTATAATTCCTGCTTTTATCAATTATCATAGTTTGTTCACTCAGTGGGTTCACATCAATTATTTAAATAGATCATACTCTCATCTGGAAGTGAGGTGAGAAGTGTTCTATTTCACAGAACTATGATTGCTTAATTTGAATGATCATTAATTATGTGACAGGAAAAAGTTTGTATACAGTTTTTAAAAAGCTCTTGTGCATACCAGTTCAGATTATGTGATACCAAAAATTATTTCCTGTTTCACAGAAAATGCCTCCTAACGATCTCTAAAATTCACAAAGGTAAGAAATCACACCTTGGTAGAAAGCGTAGCAATATGTCACCATCCCCAGTTGCTGCAGCTGCTCCTGCTGTATCATCAGCATAGGCCCCAGCTCCAGGTATTGGTGAATCTCCTACACGACTTTGTGAGCACACAGGGTAAGAATTTAGGACACAAAATCAAGTATAATCTAAACCATGTTATAATCTGGTCAAAAAATTAGGAGATATTTCCACATAGCCACTGATCATTGCTTTAAGTAAATTCTTCAAAAAAACACAGAGAAAAGATTTTCATTAGTTTTTCAACTTAGGCTTTCACTAACCTACCTTAATCATATCAGAATTTCTTGTAAGATGTAGAGTGTAAAAAATTGAATTTATAGAAACAGATTAAAATAGTGGTAGCCAGAAGCTAGGGAATGGGTTGTTTGGGAGGATGTTGGTCAAAGGATATAAAATTTCAGTTCAACAAAAGTTCGTTCAAGAATTCTATTGTACATCACGATGGCTACAGTTTATAAGAATATATTATATATTTGAAAACTGCTAAGTGAGTAGATTTAAAAAAATAAGTATGTGAAGTAATGCATAAGTTAAATAGCTTAGTTTAGCTATTTCACTCGGTACATGTATCTGTTTTATATAGCTATATATTTATATATTTGAAAACATGCTGCATCCCACAGATGCATACACTTTTACCTATCAGTTAAAAAATTAATTAAAAAAGAAAGAATTTATCAGCTGGTTACATGTCAAAATGAATTAGATTTACAGTGGCTATTCTAACCATTCTCACCTAATTCGTGGATCTCAATAGGTTCAAAATTGATTTACTTTATGAACAATATATTCCTGCTCCTGCTCTTTGTATAACGTGCCAGACATTTTAAGTTTGTTCTTGTAACCTATTTAACGATTTTCTATTACTTCATAATGAAACACAGAATTTAAGCTGACTTTAAACCCTTTGAAATCTGGCCTGTCTTCCTTGTAACCTTATCTTCCACTACTCCCCACACTCCTACACGTGCACACACAATCAAGAACACACACGCATGAGCACACGTACATATGTATGCACCAAAATTTTCTTTTTTAACCAGCAGAAGCCCTGAATCTGACGCATACACTACTTTGTATCTGTATGCATCTGCCTGCATGTTTCCCTTTATTCAGAGGACTCAGGTTGTACCTGTTAGTATCAATTTACTGGCATTCCTAACTACTAGGCTTAAACAGATCACTTCTCATATTTCTGAACCATAAAGCACTGGTTATGACTCCTTTGGCCCTTAGGAGAAAATAACATGTTTTCCTTTACATTTATTTATTTCAGCTGTTATGTATATTTGACAGATCTATTCATATGGAAACACTAACCCATGTATTTTGAATTTTAAACCATTTGTAGATGTACCAGCAGCAGTACGTCCCATCTTATGGATTACAACCATGCCTAGAAGTTAAAAAAAAATTGTAAGTACCTAAAATTTGCTGCAAACATACCAAATAACTGAGCAGTTGGTAACTACTATGGTGTGAATGTTTGTGTCCCCACAAATTTATATCCACAAAGTGATGGATTGAAAAGGAAGACCTTTGAGAGGTGGTTAGATTATGATGACAGAGTTCTCATGAATGGGATTAGTACTTATAAGAGATCCCCGAGAGCTAGCTAGCCTCTTCTTCCATGTGGAGAAAAAAAAAGGTGTCATCCATGAGCCACAAAATTGGCTCCCACCAGACACTGAATCTACCAGTGCCTAGCTCTTGGATTTCTCAGTCTACATAATTGTGAGAAATAAACTTCTGCTGTTTTTTAGTCACCAGGCTATTATATTGTGTTTTAACAGCTGAATTGGCTAAGAAAATAATATAAATAAATATACTCGCTCATTAATTTCAGGTAGAAGAGAAAAACTGAGAATATTATGCCAGTGGTATCAATGTGTTTATTTTAGCATCATTTGGAGGTCATCCCATATTCTAACTCTTCAAGTTAGTCTGTTACTTTCAATTCCTTTTCAAAGGTATTACGAAGTACAATCAATGATACAGAATAACAGAAATTATCAACATTAAATCTTGTAAAAAAATACTTAAGGTTAGTTTAATATGACAAACAAAACTATCAAAGCACTAAATACTAAAGATTTAAAAATTATGTTAATAGTCATTGTGGTCTTATATAAGTAATTTACCAAATTGCATAAAGATTTTAATTATATATAATTATCTATTTTATGAATATCACAATTATAAATACACACACACACACACACACACACATACACACACAGGTAGAGAAGAAAGAGAAAGAAAGGAGGCAGTTGGCAGTTAAAATAACCAAAATCAACTTCTGGTACTTACATTAAGGATGAAGAGCTATACAAGATAATGAAATTTTAACCATGAGTACTGTATAAAATGCAAATTACCAATAGTGTCATGACCATGATCACCTCCTGCTTCATTATAGGCAGGATCTTCTTGCTTTAAGATACAAGGTGGTTTGTAGGGTCCACAGTATTTTGAAGGATCTGGTATAACATTCTATAAATAAGATTCAAGTTTTATTTGTTAAAAAAAGTATTTAGAAATTACTAAATACTATTAAGAAACCAAAAAAAAAAAAAAATCTAGCAACTGAAAGCTTAAAGATTAGCTAAGTCTTAATGAAAGTTCATGAATATATACTTTTACTAAATTCTCAGGTTAGTTTCAAACTTATGGGTTATCCATCCACATTATATGGAACAAGTCCCTGAGTTTTATCCTTATATGTCTAAAATTATGCTCAGAATAATGGCAAATATAAGGTGTTTTTATTACATATTAATTCTCAAAGTAAAAAGAAATACATCCTAATCTCTAAATTTTAGAATTTGTTTCCCAGATGAAGATTTCAAAGTTTTAAAACAAAATCTGTTTCTTAAAACCATTTTTTCCAAAGCTAGTTTTATCTGAACATGTGGTATTCTATGATTTATTTTAAATCTTAAAAGTACAAGAATATAATCCAAACTCATAAATTTAGGTTGGATAGACTGGTATTAAAACAAGAACCCACTACAGGTTGAGTGCTCCTTAAATGCAGTGCTTGGAAATAAGTGTTTTGGATTTTGGAATATTTATATGCTTATAATGAGATACATTGGGAATTGGACACACATCTAAGCACCAAATTCATTTATGTTTTATATATGTCTTCATACAAGTAACCTGAGGGTAATTTAATACACTACTTTTAGAGCGACAGTGTTTTGACTGCACCCATCACCTGAACTGGTGTGGAAGAAGAGTCTTCTGGCTGTGGCACCATGTCAGTGCTTGTTTTGATTTCAGGGTTTTAGATTAGGAATGCTCATCTTGCACTCACACCATATACATTAGTCTACCAGGTACCTTCCCTGACTCTTTTATGAATAATCTCTTTCTAGAACTAGCCCAAGAGACACCTTGGTAATTAGGACTTAGGCAGGGAACACATGAGAAACTAAGATATCCCACAAAAAAGAACCTATATGGCAAATACAAACTGATTTATGCTAAAAAATCCCACTGAAGACAAATTATCCCACTATTAACATACTAGACACTGAACACAAATTATCCCACTATTAACATACTAGACACCTAATCCTATAAAGCTTCAAGTCAAGTAAGGGCAAGAGACTAGATACACATAACACTGCTGAAATCTAAGGAATATTTTAGACTGTTTTCCAAACTTTGAATTTTTTTTAAGAGTTTTTTCCAAGGAAATATAAACGGAACAGTGCTTATAAAGACAGCTCTACTCTCCTCAGAACCTTCACAGTCTGAAAACTACTACCAGAGACTATTACTTCTCCAGTATGGATGTACATGGGAGGATGTTGGGGATCTTTCAGACACATCCCTGCCCAGAGTCAACTTAAATCAATGGTTCTAACATATGGCCATGATACTAACTAGCACCTCCTACAACAGATAGGTGACAGAGACAGAAGGAACATCACTTCATATTTTCAAGTAATTTACTTTTTAAAATAAAAAATGTAATACATACTCTCCAATAATTTGGCTGGCAATTCCGAGAAAGCCAATCTGAATGAAGAGCCTGAGAAGCAGTGGTAGATAAATCCTCATTGATAAACCCCATACTTTCAGCAAACTTGGTGGCTGGAGATTAGGAAGAAAGTGTAAATTAAGTAAGGTCTTTTAACCAAGATATGTGTACGGGAGGTATTCTAGGTCAGCTGTCTCTTAAGGCACACAAGACAGAGGAGAATACACCAAGACTTTCAAAGGAGTCTTCAGTTATGAATAGTTCTAGATTTCTTTTGGTAGGACTGGGGTTTGAACTCAGGGCTTTGTGCTTGCAAAGCAACGAATAGTTTTAAAGGAATCAATTTCTATTCCCCTTTGCTACTTCATCTCCATCTCCCTCCTTCTACTTTACAAAAGAAAAGGCACATCTCTCCCCAGCACAGAATCTTATTGCTCTTATTGCTCTAACTAAGGTATAAGGTCCATGGTATAAAAAGCTTTGAGACACAAAACAAAGGGATTCTACTGAATGAGCAAGGTGATTTGTAAGTCTGTTCTTTCAACCAAATTGAAGGAAGCCTGCGGGAGTTGCTAAATAAATACATCATTAAAATAATGTGTGACTACAGGCAACTGTAGGATTTTTGGTATATAGCTTGGAAATACATGACAGTGTCACAGCAAACTCCTTTCAGGCCTTCTTATGTTAATAATGCTCTCTGGGTCTTCTACCTATACAAATGTAGTATCTGAAGAAACTGATGCTGAATCCTGTTTTACTGGTAGCAGTTACTCATCTACAGACAATAAAGTATTGTCAAAAAACCCAATCTTAAAGACAATGAAAGTGAGATTTAGAAGTAACCTATCCAGTTAAACAGATACTAAGTAAAACAGCTGGAATTTGAACTTAGGTCTGCTTTTGTCCATATTTGATATTGAGTCCTATTTTTCACAATGAAGATTATAGACAGAGTAGAAAAAATTTCAGCACAGTTAAAAAATACCTGACTCTCCTACTAAAAGTGTGTGTGTTGTATGTTCCAGTACTTTCCGTGCCACACCAATTGCATTTTTAATTCGTCTAAGATCTCCTACTGCTCCCACGTCCATAGTAGTGCTGCAAGAAAAAAAAATAAAGATTTACTAAGGTATGTTCACAAGGTCATAGATAAAATATTACTAAGGTATTTTTGGAGGATCATAGATAAAAATATTGCATTTCTATATAATAATGTTTTGTAGGATAAACTCCCATCATCTTAACACAAAAGTGCAAACACCTACAAAGCTCAGAGTCTCAAGACAAAATAAAAAAACAGAAAGTCAATTTACTATATATTACAACAGCACTGAAATTCTCAGTTTTTCCTATCTCATTGTAAATATGGCTTTTGAAAGAGGCCTTTTATGTCTATAAGCCAGGCAAACCACAGCTTTTGGGATAGCAGGCAATTGACTGTTTAGAAGATCAGAGGCCTATTTTTGTAGCTTGGGATTCTCCTTCATTTAGGAGGACTACCTACTTTCCTGAGATATTTCCACTATTAATATGATTTTTGCTTTTTAATTGAAAGGGAAACTCCTTGAGATTGGGAAGGGCAAGTTAGGGGTTTTGACCTGTGACCAAACTGATGCCTCTTCCATCTTGCTCTCAGAAGACAACTACTGTAAATATAACTCAACATGAAGCAAAGGATAGAGATAAAAAGGTCCTGAAGGGCATTCTTACCCATCCATGATCATAGCGTCCAGTGTGGTTTCCCCAAGTTCATCAGGACTTCCTCCAAAGCCTACAGAGCCATCACACTGCTCTCTCTCACACATCGCACAGCCATTCTCAACTGCATCCAGGGTAGAACCTCCAGATGTTAATGTCCGCCATGCTGTTAAACCCAATAATGCCTGTTTATATTTATACATTTTTTTCAATGCCAAATGCAACAGTCCAACATTTTACCACTCCTAATTTGTTCACATGCATACTAAAATTTAAGTTTTAACAAATTAGGTTATCAAATGGTACAAAAGTGCTATAAAGGAGTCAGAATGAGAGACAAAGTTATATCATAGGTTAGTATGAATTCTATTCAAAATCTTTGGTCATTGTTGCAACGTGAGGGTTTTTGCACTCATTAATACCTATTTCTTCTGTGTAAGCAAAGAGGTAAGCATCTGCTTACCTCTGCTGTACAACTGAAACTACTCAAAAGTAGTTAAATTGAAAACTATTAAATCACAACCTTATAAATTATTTCTGCATCATCATCATCACTATTACATTTTTAAGGCAGGGTCTTGCTATGCAGCCCAGGTTGCTCTGGAACTATGTAGACTAGACTGGCCTCGAGATCATCACCTTCCTGCCTCAGCCTTTTGAGTTCTGGGACTACAGGCAATACCACTCAGAAAAGGAGATGCTATATTTAGGAAATCTGCCCTGTGCAAAGCTGGAATACAGGGTACTGGAGAGAAGTGAGGGGTCAAAAAGCAGAAGTGGAGGGGCAGACAGAAGGCATTCGGTAAAAAGACTGGGTGTCACCAAGCAGCGGAGGTGGTCATATTAAAATCAGAAATGCGCTAAGTCTGGGGTCAGTACTGGCAGTAACCCTAAGTGGTGAGGAGCTCAAGTGCAGCAGCAGCAGGGGGACGGCCACCGCCACGCGGGCCCCTGGCAGCGGGACCTGCGGAGGGCCTGGCCGGGCTGCACGGCGCTCGCCTGCGCTCCTCTCGCAGACGCCCAGGGGCCGCCGGCCTGTGCTCCCCGCCGGCGAGCTCTCCAAGCGCAGCCACCCATCCCGGCCGCCGCTCCGCACCTGCTTCGGTAGCATTCTTAAAAGGCCACGTATTGAGGACCAGGGGCAGAGGGCTGGAGCCGCGCACTAGGACCGGGCAGAGCAGGAGTGGAAAGAGAAGCAGAGGAAAATTCGACTTCCACGCCATAGCCGCGCGTCAAGCCCACCAGCGCGAGAAAAGTCCCCGCGGGCCGAGGGCGCAGACGCCGGGCCGCCGCTGAACTCGTGATCCCTAGGACCCCGCCCACGTTTGGCCACGCCCGCTCCCTTGGGGCGGGGTCCGTGCTTTCTTAACTCTCGCGGGACTTGGCCTTCTCGGGGCTGGCCTTAGGGTTTTGTCTGTGTTTTGTTTATGGTGTTGTGTCTTGCTGAGTTGTTTTTGTTGTTGTTTTTAAGTAGTCAACCAAATTGCCGCTTCCCCTGTTTTTAAAAGTAGATTGAGCTTCGTATTGGAAAGTTAGTATGAAATTATGCAACCGTGAATGGCAGGATCGTAGGAACTTTTATGTAATTGACTTCTGCTTATTTGCTTCATTATTTTTTGAAAGTTTGCAGAACCTAAAATGTACGCTGGAATTCCTCAAAATCTAGCAGGTTTGACTGTAGGTGATGTGTGCTTGACCAAACTCATTTTTCTGCCCATACTTTTTCCTTGGTTTTCCCACCACATGTTTTGGTAGGGAGGCCTGACCTTGCAAATCCCTGAGCTGGGAGAGGAGGACATCTGGGGAAACAAATTTACCGGGTCCCCCGTCCACTGAAGACTGAAGCGCCTGTTCCTCGCCTCCAGGCCAGAAGCCCACCTGCATTCTTTTTTGAGCGTATTTTACCTCCCTGTCTGGTACCATTAAGTACTAAGTAAATGTTTGATAAAAGGAAGGATGGAGACTTTACGTGCACAGCAGAGGTTGCTCGTTTTGAAAATTCGATTCCTGCACAGATGTGTGAACATGGGCCAGTAATCCCTTTTGGACTCCAGTGCGTGCCCAAGTAGCCCAAGGAAGACAAATAATTTTCAAAAGCATCTGTAAATCTATTCAGACTTATAAAATATGAACTAGATGGGACTTGTGAGGCTTACAAAAATCTTCAAGTTTCTTATTGCTAGGAAACTGAATATATAATTTTAAAACATCGTGAAATAGTCTAGACGAATTATCCCAAGACAGGGAAGTGGTATTAAAAAGTTACATGTAATTAAAGGGAAATGATACAGGGCCTTCCTATAGAATTTGGGAAGAGGAGCATACTATTTGTTGTGGCGTAATGAGCATAAAGCTAATGTGAAGTTAAATATGAAAGATGGATGAAATAGGGCAAGAAGGCAAGGAAAACATGCATTGTCCTTTGAATTAATTTTCCTTGGCACCTGAGCTGAGTATTATTTTTATAGCCCAAGAAACTAGAACACATCCTCAGCAAAAATTGTAAGATAAAATGCATGGAAAATTGTTCTCAGTTCTCACTGCTCTGTCCAGCTTCTTCCTGGTTGTTACAGTATTTGTGTTTCTTCCGCTAAAAGCCTAAACTCCACCTCCTACTATGTCCACTCTTTTCTCCAAAATTCTTAGTATTTCACCTCATCTATAGGTTGAAGGAAAGCAGCTAAGTTATACTAATTCTAAATATTTTAGAGAAAGTCTCAATATTGCAACTTTCCCATTGATTTTTGTATTCAAAATAATTAAGAGGCAGGAATCTATCCTGTTGGGTGGCTTTTTTTTTGTAGCCATTAAAATACTCAGTTGGTTTGTTTGCCTAAACTTGAATCATCCCTATATCTAGCTCTTAAGTAAATTAAATTGGTTTGGATATTTGAATTCCTTCTGGATTATTACTTGTTTTCAAACTACTGCATGGAGAATAGTTTAGGTTTTAGACCTGAAATTCACCTCATGTTACTCTCAGGTTTTCATTTATGCCTCAAAGCAACTGAATTCTTTTGCTTTGTTTTGAGGTAATCTAAATGGAAAGGGACTTCTTTTCATTTTTCTTTACATTTTCATTTTTACAGATTTACAATTACAGGTGTATAATTTTAAAAAAACCTAGCATCCTCTCCAATTTTTATTCTTTTAAATCATTAATTATACACAACAGTAGAGAGATGTAGTGTTACAGATAACCAGCTACAAAATCATTTGTATTTAAATTAAGAATACATTAATGAGTTTGGTAAAATGTCAAAGCATTCTTATAACTAACAGTATTTAAAGTGATTCACAAGACCTGGAATTTAAAACTTAGAGCAACTACATATTCTCTGTGCTAACTTGTGTAATCATACTGAGCCACACTTTCTTTATCTATAAAATAAAGATAGCTGTAATGTTCTTTCTTATTTTATGAAGTTTCATGAATGAGGTAGTATTTAAATAACATACTGTTGTTTTGATTAGCATTTACCAACTATCCATCAGCTGGTGTCAGGGAGGGAGTGGTCCATACAATGCAGCAAAAAGAAATCAATCTGAGATTGAGAAATTTCCCCAGGACTAATAAACAGTTGGCAGGATACCTAAGCACTTAGAATTTCTTTGTATTGAATGGGCATTAAAAATAATGTTTCCATCTACTTTGAGTTGTCAAAAATGTAGTTTAAATGTTTATAAAGATTGGACACTACACAGGGTTGTGAGATTTCTGGATGTCACAAAAGTGGAGTCTTAAAAAGGAGAAAGTCTCAAATAGAATCTTAAAATATGCTACAAATACATTCATGGTGTGTGTGCGCGTGTTGGTGGAGATTAAGGGGGAGTAGTTTCTTAAAGAATGCTATAAATACATCCATTATGTGTGTGTGTGTGTGTGTGTGTTGGAGGTTGAGGAGAAGTAGTTTCAGCTGCAGAGTCCCCTCCTTTTCCTCTAAACTTCATGGCTTTCAATTTATCAGTCTCAGAAGGATGAAGAGTTGAGTCTCTCTTGATAGCATTTGAAGCTGTGGTTTCACAGAGGATTTAACGCTGTAGTTGCAGGGAGTCTAGGTATTTCAAATCTGAGGCTTAAAAAACTAAGCCATCCCCTCCGGCTTTTGCACTGATGCTGTGAAATCCATTTGAGAAACATGCCCATGTTTTGCTACTTGTTCAAAGCTGTAAGCGTGACTTGGCATTAAAATAATAATTTCTTTTTCCCCACTGAACCTGGGTTATCTAAATACAGGCTATTTATTTGATTGGCATTTGCTCTTGTTAATTTCATATACTGTAAGTAATGAATATTTTTGCTGATGTTAAAGCATTGTGGCACCATGTTTCTAATTTAAATCTATTTTTTACATTAATCCAGGCACACTTGATGTTACTACCTGAGTGTACATTCTGGATGTAATTAGAGTCATTATACAGAAGTAAGTGTCATGTTATTCTCTAAATGAGAAAAAAGAGTACTCTTTCTTTCTGTGATAATTTTTCTGGGTCATGGCCCCCAAACCATTTGTGAAATCAGTAACAGATTCAAATCACAAACTGTCTTTTGGCTTTTTAACCTTTTAAAATCATACAAGTGACTTATAAAGACAGATTGTATAGGAGAATGTTCACCTTTTAAGTGTTTTTTTTCAAACTAAGTTATGTGCAATGTATTTTCATTTGTAATTTTAATATTAGGCCATTGCTAAAATAAAGTCATAAAAAAGATATAGTAGATCATTTTACATAGTGTGCTTGTTTTTTTATGACACTTGTTTTTAATGTTACGATATTTTCATAAGGGTGATCCATTTCTCTAGTAAAGGCCTAGGGCAAAGAACCTATTCATATTTTGGCATATAAGTAGTTGTTGAAAATCTTGGTATTATACCCACTATTGTATAACCTACTTTCTAATTTAATGTATCTCTAACTTCCTTACAATCATTAAAATTCATGCTTTTAAAATTTTTATTGTGCAATGTTAATACAGAAAAGGGCATAAAAATAAATATGTAGATTAAAGAATTTTGTAAATGAACATCCACATAATCATTTCTTATGATAACAATAGAATATTGTCAGTGCCCTTTAAAATTTGCATTAAGGTTTGCCCTTGGTGTTGTATACTCAATAGATTTGAAGACGATATAATGACATGTGTCCTATCATTATGATATTGTACAGAGTATTTTTTATTGTTGCAAGAATCTTCTATTCTCTGCCTATTCTCCCTTTCTCCCTGCCAACTCCTGGCAACCACTGACTTTTTTACTGTCTCCATAGTTTTGCCATTTCTAAAATGTCATTATTTATTAGAATCCTATGGTCTATAGCCCTTTTGTATTGGTTTCTTTTACTTAGTAATATGCATTTGTTTCCTCCATGTCTTTTCATGGCTTAATAGCTAATTTCTTTTTAGTGCTGAATAAAATTCCATTGTCTGGATGTACAGCAATTTATTCAACTATTCAGCTACTGAAGGCCATCATGGTTGTTTCCGAGTTATATTTATAAGTTTCACTTATAAATGAAGCTGCTGTAAGCATCTGTGTACCAGTACAGCATAATTGTAATGGATGTAGAAAATTCATTCATGACTCTACAAAAATTTATTGGCTTCTTGTGTCTTTTAAACTTTGATCTTTATATGAAGAATTTTTCAGAATTGGTCAGATGTTACATTGAGTTTATATATATATATATAATGATCTGTAGCACATACATACATCATGATATAACTATATATATATATATATACACTTCATATATATGAATTCAGAACTCATATGGAGCTCAGGTAGGTTAAGAGGATTAGCTCTGTTTGTTACTGAAGGGTCAGGGCAGATTTAGAGATTAGGCTGGTGTCCAAATTCAAGGAAGATTCAGGAAGTCAAGTGGTTTGAGAGAACGGCAGCACATGAGGAGAGCTCTGATTATCAGGGAGGGGCATTTTGACCATACCACCATCTTTATAGTTTTCTGCTGGATGCAGAATTGATTTGCTGTAAATCTACTCTGTTAATTTTTGTTCAAAGGTTGATGACACTTGGTAGTTTAGGTGCTCCTATTACTGGATTGCTCCTAAAGGCCTAAACCATAAATCTTTTAAACTCCTTGAATTTCAGAGGTCTAGGATGATGACAACCAAAGCTCTGAAGTTTTGTATTAACATTCAGTGCATTCAGTTGCAAGTATCAGTGAACTTAAAGGTGGCTTACAGCAATAGGGACTACTGTTTTTGCATCTAGTAAGATAAAAAACTGCTAGTATTGGTTCAGTAGCTCTAACATGTTAGGGTCTATTTGTT